GTCCCTGAGCTGTAAATGGGTAAGTTGTTATGCTGGCAAACATCTTGTTGAGTATGTTTTCACCACAAAAAAAAAATTAAGGGGGGAAAAAAAAAGACCCTATAGTGTAACAAAAAGGAATCTGAGGCTACACATGTGATGGATCAACCATGATTTGTTCTTCCTCAACTACCAAATGCAACATTTAAACTAATTACAAAAACACCTGTAGCAGGAATGGAATTTACACAGTGGGCAAGAAGGGAGATCAAGGTTGTAAATCAAAACTATGAATGTGAGATTTGTGCAGTGGGCAAATTAATAAACTATATAAAATATGCTTGACTTCCCAAAAAAAGTCAAGAGAACAGAGTGGTACTAACACTGAGAGGCCTGCCGGGCTACAGCGAAGGAGAGTGGTCCAAGATGAGCTCAAAAGGCAAGCAAGTATGCACAGGGAGATAGCTCAGGGTGCAGAAGAGTATGAAGGGATGGACACTGGGAGGAGGTAACTATGGGGAGGAAGTGGGAGGGGAGCTGCTGCATTGTAAATTTTGGTCAATGACATGAGACAAAGTATATGTGAACTGCTGTATGAAAAGTGAATTTACTCTGTAAATCTTCACCCAAATCCTAATTAAAAAAAAAAATAAAAAAAAAAAAGGCAAGCAAGAACTCAACTCAAGGCCTTTAAGGGAAAAGGAAGGATTTTAGGTCATATTTTGTATGCAATGGGGAAGCCACTAAAGGGAGTTTGAGCAGATAAATAAACAAGTGGCCTTTAAAGAGACCACTCTGGTTGCTGGATGGGAAGAAAAAAAGGAAGAGGCGGTGACCACCACAGTGCGAGGGGATGGTCGGGACTAATGTGGCTGGTGTGGGTGTTTGAGACAGAATCAACTGGCTTCAGACAGAGTTTAGTGCACGCGAGAGGGAAGAATAAATTAACCAGGTGGTTACTGCGACCTGAGGAGATGGGAAAGTCTGGAGGAAATCAAAAGCACTGCTGGTGCAGAAAAGCTGCCACAGAGAAGATGCCCCAAGGCATTGAGTCGGCACCCCCCACCCAAATCTACTGATACACACTACGAACAGACCCTTGGAAGGTAGTGAGATGCCTGACCGACATAAAACGCTTAAAATAATCTTACTCGGGGAGGCTTAAGAGTAAAGCAATGCTGGAGAACTGGAACGCGCACACAATCAAGCAGAACCTCAGGCCCGTGTTCAAGCAATGGGATCTGCAATCCCACCTACCACACATGCGCGTTTGTGGAAGATATGCTATCTTCCTCCTTGGTTCCTTGCCCAGTTACTAAAATCATCACCACCCAGTCACGCATTATCTTTGACTCTCCATCCTACCCTTTCCCCACCCAACATCCATTCAGTTACCAATGCATTGCTTTGTATCTATATCAGCATCTTTGCAATGCCCCCCCCACCAAAAAAAAACTATCCATGACCAGAATTCCATACCCCAGGGACATTCTGATGGTACTCTGGGTTGAGATGGGTGTTTAAAGAATATGCCAGTATCCATAAACTCTTAAAATCTTCCCCTTCAATCCTAATGCTACTGCCCTCATTAAAATAGTTCCCTCTCTCCAGCCTCCTCGAGTCCAACCTATTTAACTTCTACATCACAGCCAAAATTCCCTAACTCAAATATTTTCATATAAAAACACTGTGACACCTGGTAAAATCTGAATAAACTCTGTAGATCATCATATTGTCTCCATCTGCAGATTTTCATCATCGAGTTGGGGTTATGTAAGAGAACGTCCTTGATCTTTGGAAACACTAACGTAGTTAGGAGTAAAGGGGCATCGTGTCTGTAAACTTACTCAAACAGTTCAGACAAACTGTATGTATATACAGACGCAGAGAGAACGAGAGTGCACATGTGATAAAACACTAACATTTGGAGAATCTGGGCGAAGGAAATATGGGAATTCTGTTCCTCTTTTAGCAACTGAAATGATGTCAAAATAAAAGCTTTTAAAATCCCGAATATTTCATTCTCACAAGTACCTTTGCTAACAGTACTCTTAGGCCACCTGTACAATCATTTCCACATACTTTTGCAGTCCCAGATAATCATCTTATTGGTTGGAAAACAACCAACAAAATTATAGATAGAGAATGAGTGAACAGGCAGTTTCCTTTCAGAGGCCAAAACTGTAGTTCAGCCCTTTGAAGTCCTTTCATTAAAACAATACAATAAAAGGAAGCACACCTCCCCACAAGGTAGTGTCAAGTGTTAGTGAGACAATGCACAAAAAGAAACAAGGTAAAGGACCAGGATTCTGAGCAAAGGTCTGCCTCAAAGGTCTGAATATTCCAACTGTGATCGGTTGTTCTGGTTGGGTGCAGGGGACATATGGGGCTGTCTGCACACATGGCCACACGTAGGGCAGTGAAGACACTGACCCTTCAAGATCTGTTGAGTGTTCTGGACTTGCAGTGGATCCATGGATTCTTTGAACCCCACCCAAAGTCTACATTAAGACCCCAGATCAGTGGGTTGTTTAAAAGTACTGACCCATCAACTTAATTCAACAGTTTTAAGTGTGACTCAATCTGTGCCAAGAAACAAAACAGAAAAAATTGTGTAGTTAATTGTGTAGCCATTAACTAGTAGTATTCTAACAAATCGCTTGCTACAACTACATATTCTTTCCAAATTAAGATCAAGTTTATCTGGTAGAGGAGCTACCAGAGCTCCTCTCTAATACTAGTGTTTTACAATGTACATGGGAGCTCTGGTAGCATAGTGCCTGAGGCACTTGACTGCTAACCAGAAGGCTGGTGGTTCAAACCCACCAGCCACTCCTCGGAAGGAAGATGGAGCAATCTACTTCTGTAGTGATACTGCCTCGGAAACCCAAGGAAGGGTTGCTGTGAGTTGATTCTGACTCAATTGCACATAACAACAATGTACATAAACTAGCAGACACAATAATTCAAAACAAAACAAAAAAAAACACCCAAAAACCACAGCCTTAAATGGGGTGAACATTTATAGGTACCCTCCTTGGAGAGATCAATCCAGGGAGAATAGAAAGGCAGTGTTTGCACAGGCAGACAGCTCAGGGAACAGGAGTGCATGGGAGAGAAGGAAGAGGGAAGAGGTAACTACCGGGAGGAAGTGGGAAGACAGTTGTTATACTGTGGGGGAATTACACTCAACATCATGAAACAAAAATGTGTATGAACTACTGTATGGAAAATGAATGTGCTCTGTAAATTTTCACCCAAATCACAATTAAAAAAACAAAACAAAAAAACCCAGCCATTATCAACACACAAAGGGAGATGTCATAATATTTCAAAATCACTTTTCAGAAAACATCGGTTGTTTGGATGGCACTAAAATATGTTTAAAATATGCTAAGCAACTCTGGAAGAAGAGTAATTAGGCATCTGGTTGATAACTGTAACGGTCAGCAGTTCGAACCCACCAGCTGCTTTGCAAAGATGATGCAGTCTGCTCTTGTAAAGACTGACAGCCTTAGAAACTCTATGGGGGCATTCTGTTCTGTTCTATATGCCAGAACCTGCTTGATGGTGGTGAGTTTTAAAAATCATTTGTTGTTAATATACAACAACAAAAATACAAATAATCCAACTAAAAACTGGGTGGAATTGGTACTGGTATAACGACAAACACATAGACCAATGGAACAGAATTGATAACCCAGAAATAGGTCTATTTGACCTATGGTCAGCTGATTTTTGACAAAAGGCTGAAATCTATTAAATAGGGATGAGATGGTCTCTTTAACAAATGGTGCTGGCAAACTGGATATCCATTTGGAGAAAAATTAAACGAGATCTGTACCTCATACCATACACAAAAACTAACTTCAAAGACTTAAATGTGAAACCTAAAACTATAAAGTTCCTCAAGGAGAAAATAGGGGCAAATTTAGGGGCCCTAACTTATGGCATAAACATAACTCAAAACGCACAAACAGCTGAACTAGATGAATGGGACCTTCTAAAATTAAATTTTTATGTGCTTCCAAAGACTTCTCCAAAAGGATCAAGAGAACCTACAGATTGGGAAAAAATATTTGGCAATGACACATCTGACAAGGGACTTATCTCTAAAATTTATAGAAAACTCCAATACCTCAACAATAAAAAGATTAACAATCCAATTTAAAAAATGAGCAGAAGACATCAACAGACACTTTACCACAGAGGATATTCAAGCGACCAGCAAATACATAAATGTTCACCATCACTAGCCATCAGAGGTGCAAATCAAAGCAACAATGAGATACCATCTCACCCCAGCACTAATAGCAAACTTCAACAGACAGAAAATAAATGCTGGCAAGGATGTGGAAAGACTGGAACTCTCACACACTGCTGGTGGGACTGTCAAATAACCACTATGGAAAGCAGTATGGCAGTTCTTTAAAAAGCTGGAATTAGAAATACCATTTGATCCAGCAATCCCATTACTAGCTATATCCTAAAGAAGTGAGAGCCATGACAAGAACAGATATATGCACACCCGTGTTTATCACAGCACTATTTACAACAGCAAAAAGATGGAAAAAACCTAGGTGCCCATCAACAGAAGAATGGATAACCAAACTACGGTATATACACACAATGGAATACTATGCAACTCTAAAGAATACTGTAGAATCTACAAAACACCACATAACATGGATGAACTTGGAGGACATTACGCCAAGTAAAATTAAGTCAGTCACAGAAGGACAAATAAAGTATTAGTTCATTATTGTAAAAAATTAAGGAAAGGTTTATATATGGAAGGAAACGCTCTTTGCTGGGTGGGAAAAGGGGAGGGGTGGGAAAAGGGGAGGGAACACTGCAAAAATTAAAAAATAATAAAAGTAATAACAAATCAACAAATTAATTTTTTTAAAAAATCTGTTAATATAATTCATAGGTAAAGACAATCATTTAACGGAATTATGAGAGAAAACGACAACACTCAGAATACAATCTAGAAAATAAAAATGATAAACTCTACTCACCAGCAATCTCTACAATGTCTCCAGGAACTATGTCTTTAGCTTTAATTCGCTGTACACTCTTTCTGTCCTGTCGATACACTTTGCCCATTTCAGGCTCATACTCCTTAAGGGCTTCAATTGCATTTTCAGCATTTCTTTCCTGTAAAAAAAAAAGAGAAAACACCGATCTGCCACAGGAAGTAAATGTTTCCAGCCCAATGAATCAAATCTTAAAGAGTTCTAACTAAACACAAAAAGAAATTATAGAACCTGTTGTAAGTACAATAGCCTCCATCCACACACCCCACACCATTTAAGCCAGTCCTGTCACATGAAAGTTGTATGGTCTAACGGTCTGGGCCAACGTTCAATCTACGCTCTTCCACTTCACAGCGATGTGATCATTACACAATGCACAGGCCTACTGCCTACACAGTGAGGACAGAGTACCTACTTCAAGGGTATAAAGATTACAAGTGACATGTACAATGCTCAGAATCATGTTTGGTACAAAATAAATGATGAGAGACAAATTAAGAAAATCAGGTTGCGCCTCACTTGTAAGTAATCTTTCTCCGTTACCACTGGTAACAATCAGCGAATGGCTGGAATCTCATCACAGCATGCCAGTCACATTCCATATTCATCATAGCATCATCTATAAATATACTGAGACCTAGCCACAGTTTTTTATTCCCAATTTCTAAATGAAATGAAGAGGCAGAATTAAAATGGAATGAAAAGCATGTTGAAAGCAACACTACAGGAAAATGGCTTTAAAAAAAAGAAAGAAAGAAAGAAAATAAAGACAAGCATATGCACCAAATCTGTCTTCTCTTTTAGAAAAGAAAAAACAAGTCGAGCCTACAAAGCGCACACCCAGGCAAGGCAACACAGAGGACAAAAGGAAGCACTCTCATGCCTCTGCCATTTTGCCTTCATTCTAAAGTGCTTCAGTTTCACCTTTATCTGGATAGAATTTATGTGCAATACCATACGTCTCTTCAGTTTGCTCTAAGAATTACAGCTTGTTGTTTTTTGGAAAAGGAAAAAAAATAAAAAACCTACACCTGCTGAAAGATGTCAGAAAACTGACAGTTAATAGCATGTGTGCCTTGGTTTTCATGTATGTTCTCTGAAAAAGTACAGGAAACCATGAATTTAGGAAATTGGTAATTAAAGTAGTTTTAGTCCTATATCAGATTTTCTTAAATGAATATCGATGGCAATCACCTCATAATTCACAGAACTGCTTTGCTTTAATATTAGAACTGAATTCATGCCACCACTATGAAAGGCCTTCAGATTCAGGTTAATTGTTATGGGTATGAGAGAAAGAGCACTTGCCGAGCACTGCTGCTATTCCAGTCCAGTCAAACTGAAAATAGTTCCTTTTTCCCTCCCCTCAAAAAAAAAAAAAGACAGGTCGCTTCTTTTCCCTCTTCAAGGTCAGGTCAGGTCAAAGTTTAGCTGTACTGCTCAAGGTTAGGGAGATGTCCCAAGAACACTAACTTACAAAGGACACTCCATATTTTGCTTCTACTCAGTTAGCAAAAGTACAAGCATACACGTAGAGATGAAGTACCTCAGACGCTTGAGAACCAAGACGTTTCATCAAAATCACTTAAACCCTTCACATTCAAACTAGCAACCTTCACCCCTCTAGTTATATCTCCTACTCGAACTCAACAGCCAAATTGTTCTAAATGTCATCCCTCACATACACTTGAACTGTCCTACTCGTGCCATACCCTCTCTGGGATATTTTTCCCAGTCTCTATTAAACTCCATTCTCTATAATCTCAACAGCCTGTCACCTCCTCTAAAACCCTCTTTCAATGCACTAACCAAAAAGGATACCCATTCCCACCTTCCATATTTACTACGGGTGAATAACTGACTTTACTAGCGGTCACCTCACTCTATAGTTCCAATTTCCCTTACTCTCCGAAGGTAAGAACCCTGCAGTACTGCTCACCCCATTCTGCATGCCGTGGAAATGAGATTAAGGCTGAAGAATGTTATTTTTAAGAGAAAAAAATAAGACAAATTTGAAAGTCTTGTGAAACTGCTCTAAGATTTTACTTTGGAATTCAGATCAGTCTGGGCCTGAGTTCAAATCTCAGATACTTTATGAACTAGCTATGTATAGGCCTTTGATAAGTCACTTAAATCACCCTGAACCTCACTGCCACACCTGTCCAATGGGAATGTTACTTGCCTGACAAAATCATAAGGATAAAATGGCATGTATCTGAAATACCTCATGTGGTAACTGTCAACAATTATTATTTGTAAAAACTATAAATTCCTGCCTAAAAAAATCTAATTCTGTGTATATTTTGCCTAAATTCCTCATGAGAAGATAATTTTTGTTAAAATATAAACAAACCTTTTTAAGAAAAAAGAAGTGAGAAAACAATATAGCATAATTAACAAATTCTTCTGAGGTTATCTTTCTATGAGCCCACCACATTAAATTTATTAATTTAATATGGTTGAAGTTTATAATTTTGACAAAACTAAGTATGTTTATAAGCTGTCACCACTGTAGAAATGACAAGGGCACCCTATTATTCCTATAGATGACTATAGCTATAAAAAAATCTAAGGTTAAGATCAATATGCAAAATAAATTTGAAGTATTAGTCTCATAGTTTGTTAAATTCTATCAAAATAAATAAATAAATAAGTAAACAAACATAGATCAAGAACCCTGAAAAAGTTAAAAGTTCTCAAGAGGTATTTGCAGAACTGTGTGAACAGAAACAAAAATCCCATTATGTTTCTGTAGTAAAACAGGCCTCTAATTTTCGAGTAAGAAAAGCCTGGACAACTGAGGAAAAACTGCCAAGAGTATGCTCTAAGGGGGAAAATATTTAGGATTTAAACAATTTTCACAGCTAAATCCCAGAAGATGCAAGGAGACTAAAAAAGATGGAACTGAGCACAAGAAGTTTGTCACAGGAAACAGCCAGAAAACAAAGACAGATTCTGGTGCTTACACTTTCTGGGTTCCCTGCCTAGTAGCTTCTCTCTCTGATGCTACCAAGAAGGTGAACAGTTTTCACAGCAAAGTATATTCGTGCATGAGAAAAAAAACGCACGGACTTTCCACAGATATATTTTTACCTAACACCATCAGGAGAAACATACCAGAAACACAGCTTAATTCGCTTACATCAATAACTAAAATAGCATTGTAGGAAGTTTTGCTTACCTGCCATACACCCACAATTGCATTGGCTACCAATATAAGCAAAATTACAAAGGGTTCTACAAAGGCTGTAATTGTTTCTTCACCTTCTTCAAACCAAGCCAAAACCTAAAAGAAAAATGGCATCTGTTAGAACTATTATGTATTTTTAGGCTAGTGCAACTTTACAACCCCAGTGGCTGGCACTAAAGGGATTATGCTAGACAAAATCTTTTTTTCTTACTATATCCAAAAACAAATGGTGGCAGAATGTAATGCTATAAACTACCAGCTACGTCTTGTTACTCATTCATGGGAGTCCAATATACACATACAACTTCTTACCAGTACTGCTCAGAGTTAACTGATTTTTCTGGTATTATGGTAATAATCCCATTTTAGAACCCAAATAAAATATTGTGGGGGGCACTAAATCCATTTCATATGAATATACTCAGAAGGAATAAAACGTAAATGATTCACTGAAGTAAAAGGCAATCATCAACAACCATGTTGATACGATTAAATTCTATGTTCTTAACAAATAACACGCGGTTTGGACATAAATTCATAGTAAAACCAACTTGGTCACTGATTCATATTTGAGTATATAAACTATTCCTCCTCACTGTGTTTTCAGAAGTATTACTGAGGCCCTCCCAGGATTACTAGAAGGTGGCTGTGACTGGGGTTGCATTTTGAAGGCTGTTTTCCATGTGACATCTAGTAGAGCAATGCAACACTGCAGAGATAACCAAGTCCAACACTGTTCTAAATGTCCCAAGGAAAATGGAGTCAACTCTCAGCTTACATAGTAACCTTAAGATTTAAAAGCACCACACTATACTTCTTTATCCTAGGAAGTACGAAAAAGAACCCAACACTGGATCTTGAAATAAAAACAAAACATAGCAAAAAATGTTCTACGTAGTTAAACATATAACAAGCAACTTCTGTGGAGCACCCAACACTCCAAAAATGGTATAACTAGATCTAACGATTTAATCTGGGGGGTCAATCTGCTGCTGCTTTTTTTTTAAAATAAAAGCTGTTTAAAATGCTCACATATTTCACAATAAAATTCTTTAAAAGAGCTATTTAGTGGACAATGCGTGCAATTTTTTAAGATCTCATTTTGCATATACTCATACAAGCTTTATGGCAATAATGAAGCTATCCAATTACATGCAATACATGTGAATCTAGTGGAATACCTTAAAGTGAGCTTTTACACAAACAGCAAATAGAAAGATAATCAAGGGAAGCCCCACATGTTATTGTGCAAGTAAGAGCGGGTAACAATGAATTAACAAGAAATATTTATTTAAGCAGGAAAAAATGAGGTGGCCCCAGGACCAGGATAGGGAAAAAGGCTCTAACAGATGCCAATCACCACAGCTGCCAGCGCCCAAGAACAGACAGGCACCAGCACGAGTGTGTAGCTGGCACAGCGAGCTTTCACTGGGGGATTGCTGAGGTTAAGGCCAGGCCTAACGCCAGAGTGAACGCTTCTAGGAAGTTAAAAATTCTGATAGATACAAGATCACAGCTGCTCAGATACTAGCTTTCCAAACATGTGCCAAAGAGAGTCTATCAGAAATAAGAAACTTAATTAGCTCTTTAGGGAGAAAAATTGCTCGACTTGAAGAGTAACCAAGACCTTTTCCAAAGGTCAGTGAGGCATTAGCAACTCTCAGATAGGCTTCACACCTTGTTAAGGCGGGTGTGAGTTTCCCTCTTGGCAGCTAGGTCAAAGGAGCCAGCAATACCCCATACCAGCTGGAACCTAGGAAAAGACCAAGACAGGCAGTGACATAGCAGCGAGTGCAAACCTCTGCTTTTCAAGAAACGCGCGGCTCCTCTTCATACCGGCCTTCCTCCATCACGGAACAGCCTTCATGTGTGCAGTGCAGGGCTTTCGTCCACCGTGACTTCAAATGGTTATGTGTACTAAGTACAGGCATTCAGATTATTATCTGAAGCTTCTACAAGGATATGGGAGCTCTGGTGACACAGTGCCTAAGACATCTGATTGCTGACCAGAAGGCTGGCAGTTCAAACCCAGGCACTCCTTGAAGACTGGGAAATCTACTTCCACAGAGATAATGCCTCGGAAACCCAAGGAGGGGTCACCACGAGTCGAATTGACTCGGTGGCATTGAGTTTGCTTGATTTTTGGACAGGGATATACTAATTACCACCTGGATAAGAAATGAGTAGGCAAATCTTTTTAGGATTGAAGGATGGTGCCAAACCTATTTAAAACTGACAACTACCAGTTTCCTGAATACTTTTCTAAATGCCTATTTTGAAACCACAAATAACCTGAAGAATTAAATGCTATATCGTCCAAAATGAAAGGCAGCCGCAGCCACATTTAGCTAAGTAGCCAGAACCAATCGAGTTATTCATGTTCAGTTCAGATCACATCTTGCCACAGTTTTGTTCTGCTGTGAAGAAAATCTGTATGTTGCAAAGGTGGGAAGATGATGACCCGTGTGTGCAGAGCAGAACTGTTCTACAGGGCTGTCAATGGCTATGACCTCGTGGAAGCAGATAACCAGGCCTTTCCTCTCAGGTGCCACCAAGCGCTTAAGCATTTTTGGCACCCAAGGACCTGAGATAAGGATACTGACAAAAGACTCCCTGAGATTTGGGAGCAGGGAACAGGGAGGAAAATCAGATGGGTGACAATATTACCAAAATGTTAAGATGCCTTATTAGCATTACAGTAAATTCTGTTCACAATTATTGTGTACCAGAAATAACACAACACTTAAGGAGCCCCCAGGTGGCCCAGTTAAGCGCTTGCCTACCAGCCTAAAGATCAGCAGTTTGCACCCACCCAGAGGTGGCTCCGAAGACAGGCCTGGCAACTGCCTTCCATTGAAAACCCTACGGAGCAGTTCTGTTCTGCACACATGGGGGTTCTCCATGAGCTGGGCTGGACCTGACAGCAACTAACAGCACACCAAATGTGTTTACATACTTACTGAATTAATAATGCATAAGTAGTTTCATACAGCTTCTAAGGTATAAGAATCTAAGTGGCAGTACACAAATTTAAACATTAAGAAAGTAATCAACTTCCTAAACTATATGGAAGGAAAGCAAAAGAAAAGGCTACTGCAGTGTAATTTCAGGCATAACTAAGCAGTGTTCCTTTTTCCCTTTGCGCTATACTAGCAACACAGTAACAGTACCCTATAGCAACACAGTAACAGTACCCGTATTCTCCAGCTTACATGAAAGCAAGCAAGTTTAGAGTTTCAAATTCGCCCATTTTTCAAAGTAACGACTTGCTATCCCAACGCTAAACTACATTTTAAACTGCATAAATAGAGCAAGATAGGGTATCTTCCAACTCTTACAGGAAGACCAGTCTCTGTGCATCACTACTCATTCATGACCTGATAGCCAAAAGATGCTGGATAGCAGTGCTTATCAAATAAAGCAAATTTTAATCTAAAGTTAAAGAGGTGTGTTCTGGTATGAACCGGGGGAAAGCCATGATACTGTGACTCAGTTTCTATCACATGTGGGAAATAAAGGGCTGCTTTATTTTTTAAATTTTTTAAAACAACTAAACACATTGGTAAAATGAAGAAGGAAACAAGGGCTCACCAGTAAACTTTGCCATAACTTTCCGGAGTGGGAAACAAACATTCTTTCAGCCACTAAAAACTAGGACATCAAGAACTAGACCTCATTCATTCTCTCTGATGCAGAGACAAAGCTTGTGTCGAAACTACCGCTCCTCACTGCTTTCAGACTTGAGAATACAATCTTCTAAATGCATCAACAAAAACATTCACCCTTCAAACCGTATTTTAATAAAGTCTCTAAATAAATTAGGAAAACCAAGTAAGTTGTCCATTGTTTTCCTTTAAACACACACACACACAAGGTAATATTTAAAAGCATTACATAATGCAGTATCAATGCTTCCTGAATACATACTTCAGAGAAAACTAAAGTGGGTCTTCTAGTTTTAAGATGATACCTAAACCAATTCATTTGTTTAATTACACTAACCATGACTCTCTTTTCAAGGAATCCAAGAGGAAAAAAGACATGCACAAATTATTCAAATGTGAGAAGTCCCAGTCTAGAAAGCTTTACTAGCGTTTTAGGGTACCTCTGAGAAGCTGAGGGGGAAGAATGAGAATGAAGGGTAGGTAGAAAGAACCTGTGCAAACTGTGTCACCAGAGACGACCTTACAGCTGACTGGAGACAAATATGGTTCCAAGTCTCACTTGAAGGTCACCTTCTGAGAGGCCTTTCCAGACCCCCCTCCTCCCTGCTTGATTTCTCTCCACAGCACTATTAGTATCTAACAGAATGTCTCCACTGAAATGTACGCTCCAGGCCAGGGACTTTGTCCATTATGTTCACTGTGACTGGTAACAGGTGCTCAATAAAAACAGGAGGGCACTCATTCCAGTTAAGCAGCGACAGGATGATTGTATAAAGGGCAAAGTTGGTAAGTAAGGAGGATGGAAGGACAAACAGAAATGACAGAGGGCCTCGAATGCAAAATTAAGGTTGTTTTTTTTTTTTTAAATTAAGGAATTTTTAATGTTACTCCATATGCACCAGGAGATCTCAATCCAAGTGACTTAAAAAATAATTTTTTTTCTGGTAAATATTACAAATTAACTGAACTTTATCCCCAGCAGTCATGAGTAGAAAACATTAATGACATTTCTGACTTTCTGCTACAGCAAAATATTAACTATGGTTAACAGTTTACTAGTTGGTTTGATACTCAAATAAATTGCTAAAGGCTAATACTTCTTTTGAACTTCACAGGACCTGATGATATATGGTGTACATATTGTAACAATCCCCTGTTCACTGCTCCAGGACAGTTCCTATTTTCTACCATGTTTTTCTTGTTAAACTAACAGGAAAAAACTACCATACAAGAAACTCAGCAGCTCTTTCTTTCAAAATATAAAGAGATGAGGACTAAAAAGGTCAAGTACAATGCAGCAGTGCCAATCCCAAAACAAAATCAACAAAACAAGTCTAAGACTCACAATTTCTTGATCAAACAAACCA